ATGACTTCGAGGAATACTTCAACTTGCTTCAGAGGAAGCCGCAGCAGAGCCTTCTGGCCTATGTCACGGAGTATGACACGGCCTACCGCAAGCTCGTGTCTCACAACGTCTCCCTTCCTGGACAAGTTCAAGGGTGGCACCTGCTTCGAAGAGCAGGCCTGACACGGGAGCAACGCCAAATGGTGACCTTGAAAGCTCCGACCCTTGAGAAACAGAATGTCATCGAAGCCCTCTACCTCCTCTACGGTCAAGACTATAAAGCGGGAGGCTGGAACCATGATCGAGATCGCAAACTGTCCCGCTGGAAAGGCAGAGGCTACGCCGCCTTCGATGAAGATGATGGTCAATGGCCTGTTGAGGCATCTTGGAATGATGAAGGTGCCTACTATGAGGCTGATGAATGGGCTGTCGACGACTACATGCCTGAGGAGGAAGACGCCTTCGACTATGACGCTGGCTACTATGGTGAAGAAGAGCCATATGATGAGTATGGTGAACCAACTGATGAACCTCATGAACTCGCTGAACAATATGATCATGCCTATGCGACCTACCTGGACGCCCGGCAGAGGTTCCAACAGTTGAAATTGGCTCGAGGCTACCTTCCAGTTGTGGCCCTCACCGATGGCAACAACGCCACGCCAGCTGCTGCAGTCGCTTCCTCGCCGAAAGGAAAAGACCGTAAGGGCAAAGGAAAATCCAAGAACAAGCACAAGGGCTATGGCAAGAACATCGTGCGCTTCTCCTCAAATGGTGGCAAGGCTGCTGATCCAAAGGGCCGAGCTCAGGCCACGACATGCCTTCGCTGTGGCCAACCTGGTCATTGGGCTGCACAATGCCCTCAGTCAGCACGATCTTCCTCATCTCCCAACAAACGACCGGCTCCTTCGACGACCACGACCGAAGGAATGGCTGTACATGCCGAGAAGGCCCTGGTCCTGTTCCAAGATGAACATGGTGAAGAACGCCCTGATGCTACGATGTTGGACCCAGGTGCTTCAGCTTTCCTCAGCGGCTATGGACCGTTCAAGCGCTACCTGGACCACTTGAGTTCCTTGAACTACCCGGTCAACACCATCCGGTTTGCCCGCTGTGACAGGCAGTTCCACTTCGGAGGTGACGCCTCTTCTCAAGCTCGCTGGACGGTGGACCTTCCCGTGATGCTGGACGACCGCTTCGGCACCATCCAGTGCTATTTGGTTCCTGGCAACACTCCCATGCTGATGGGAAGACCGGTGATTGAAGCTCTCCAGATGGGCATTGACTTCAGTCAGAAGCAGATTCGCTTCGGCAACTCGCCGTGGCATCCAGTTCTGGTCGGCAAGCATGGTGAGTACCTTCTCAGCCTCACCAACGGCATGGAGCACGTTCCTGACCCCACCAAGTCTTTGTTCGCCCTGCAGATTGCAGAAGAGGTTCCGGGCAGTCACTTGCATCTGAGCGACTTCAACGACTTGGAGCACATCTTTACAGCGAATGACCAGATCCTTGCCGACAATGGCCTTGAGCTTCCTGTCTTGCACCGGCACACCCTTCGCACTATGGAGGTTCAGTTGACCACCACCGTGAATGCCACTGAGGCCTACATCACCAGTGAACTACATCCAACTTCAACAGCAAATCAGAGAGTGCTGTGGGAGGTCTACTGTGGCAAGGCTCGAACTGGCCACCTCGCCGAAGAGATGGGAATGAAAGTCGAGCGCTTCTCTTTGGAAACTGGCTGGGACTTCAACCTGAAGCGTCACCAAGCTCAGTTCTTGCAACGCCTGGACGATGAAGAGCCTGATGAAGTACTACTTGCACCGGAATGCAAAGTTTGGTCTCGCATGCAAACCCTGGCTTGCAGGACAGCCGTACAGCAAGAAGCTCTTGTGGCCCGTCGTGAACATCATCATCGACGGCACCTCACCTTTGCAAAGAAAGTGTTCTTGAAACAGGTCAGTCATGGACGTCATGCACATCTGGAACAACCACGTCACGCTTTGAGCTGGCACACCCAAGCTCTGAAAGCACTACCTGGCTACAACGCCGACTTTGACCAATGTCGCTATGGAGCTATGTGCATGGACGTGGACGGACAATGGAGGCCAGTGCAGAAGAGCACCAGGATGTTGACCACCAAGAAGTCCGTTCTGGCTGCCCTGCACTTGAAGTGTGAGCACGATCACCAACACTGTCCACTTGAAGGAGCTGCACCTGGCTATGGGCCTCGCACGACCTATCTCGAGGACTACCAGCCTGCTTTCGCCGCCACATTGGCTGCAGCGATTGCTCAACCTGAGCCTGCACAACTATGGGATTCTGCTTTTGTGGTTGATGCCTCCGAAAAGAAAGCCACAGGCCATCTCTTAAAGTTGCAGTCGGAACATCGACAAGATGCTCTTCGTACTGTCCAACGGCTGCATCGCAACTTGGGCCATCCAGCACCTGAGGCCTTAGCTGATTTGTTGTTGGCTCGTGGAGCTCACTCCTCCGTGGTGTCTGCCGCCAAGGAGTACAAGTGCGTAGCTTGCCTCAAGCACAAGAAGCCGAACCAGGTGGCACCATCCTCAATGCCGCAACAGCGAAGTTTCAATGAGGCCATTCAAGCCGACGTCTTCTACCTCAAGCCCGCTGACCGCAAGTATGCAGTACTTAGCATTGTTGATGTTGGCACCAAATACATGGCAGCCTGCTGGGTTCCTGAGGAGACATCCGATTCCTACATCAAAGCATTGGAGAAGACCTGGGTCAGGCACTTCGGGCCGCCTCGCATCCTCATCACGGACGAGGGACGTCCTTGGCTTGGAGGACCCTTCGAAAACTGGACCAGTGCACTTGGCATTGATCATCAAGTGGCCCCTGGTGAAGCTCATGAACGATTGGCTTTGGTCGAAAGGAGACACGCCGTCATCCGCAGAGCCTGTGAGGTCTACATGACCGATCGCAAGTTGACCGACCACCACGGCATCAAAGAGTCCCTGAACTATGTCATCCCGCAACAGAATGCCACTCCATCAGTGGCTGGCTTCACCCCGAGTCAATGGGTACTTGGCTATCAGCCAGAGCTGTCACACCTCCTCGACTCCAACCTCAACGCTGCTCAGCTCGCCGGCAACAATCACTCCTTCGAGCAGAACTTGGAGCGTCGAACTGCCGCCAAACTGGCACTGACCAGTGCCGATGCAGACTCCAAGCTTCGTCGAGCTCTGAGCAGAAAGTACCAGGGTCAGAATCGTGTCTTCCGCCTGGGCGAACGCGTGTGGTTCTGGCGAGATGCCCGACAAGGAGCATTGAACAAGAGTCGATGGCTTGGTCCTGCACATGTTGTGCTTCGTGAAGAAGATCCCGAGGCCACCACTGATGCCGCCAAGATCAAGACCTACTGGTTGGCATACAAGAGTCAATTGGTTCGTGCTGCACCTCACCATGTCCGTGGCGACATCCTTGGTCCTCAACATGTCCTGGACGACATGCAAGCCGCCTTGAACACCGTCAGGCAGCTCAAGTCTCGCGGAGTCACCCGCTACTATGATCTCCGTAGATCCAACCGTCAACAGCTGGATGATGTGGAGGAAGATGAACAGCAAGATGATCTCAATGGACCTCTTCACGATGAAGATGATGAACCACCACGACACCGGCTACGACTTGAGATCCCGGACAACAATGGTCCGAGCACACACGCTGAAGAGCCACTGGCACCAGAAATTGAAGCTGAGGATTACACTCCTACTTCACCCGCTGACTCCGGGTATGCACCGACATCACCTCAGCAAACGCCAGCAGTGCCAAGGCCACCAGAGATGCCCCAGGCACCTCAAGCACTAACAGCACCCCTGTCTCCCGGAGCCGTCACCACCAGATCTCGCTCTAGAGCCCCAACGATTGTCGAGCCAAGCGAGGAACCTACGATTCCCTCTGGACGACAGTCTCCAATGGCCGAACCGGCACCTGAGACCCCGGCTCCAATTCCAAGACCAACCTTGGACCCCGACACGGCATCCCTCTATGAGACAGTTGATGCTGAGACCTTCAACCAGAGAAGAGACAGGTTCAACCGACAAGAAACCTTGTCCTTCCGTCCAGTTCGACACCAGCGAACACCAGGTCCACAACCTTATGATCCTGATCCACCACCTCGAACGGACACAGCAACATCGCCTATTGGCGAAGCAGCAACTGCTGAGAGAGATCCCGAAATCACAGCTGCAGAACGAGCACCAGAGCATGCCCTCCTGAACCACGCCTTTCAGGTCAATGAGCTCGAAGCCCAAGGCCTACCTCAAGGCTGGCTGTTCCAGGATGGCTACTTCATCTTGGACAAGCGTCCCCGAGACTTCTGGGAGATCAAAGCTGGATGCATGATCAGGCATCATCTAGTACCACGACGCCACAAGCTTTGTCTTCACGATCTTCCCACAGATGCTCCATACAGCCAAAACCAACTGGACAACATCCGGGTGACAGTGATGTACGACCGCAATGGCAGGAGCATTCAACAGACAGATGATGGCTCAGACAGCACGCCTTCTGAACGTGCATGGACTGGACTCACCATCTACCAGATCAAGGGTGACCTTCGGCGTGAACTGGCTATGTATGTCAAAGCACCTCTTCAAGGAGCACGTCAATTGGGCAAGCTGGCTAAGCAACAGCACACCAAGACCTTCAAGAAGGACAAGAACAAAAGCAACTTGTCGGAGCGCCACATGACTCCAGACGACAGAGCACAGTTCAAAGCCGCCAAGGTCAAAGAACTTCAGAGCTTCTTCGACAACCAGGTCTGGCAGTTTGAGACCACTCGTGAAGCTGAGCCGAGCCGCACCTTGACAAGTCGGATGCTGCTGAAATGGTCCAAGCATCCCGATGGCTCTCCACGAGCCAAGGCTCGCCTGATCGTCAGAGGATTCCAAGATCCTGACGCCTGGGAAGGCACCGTGCCTACCTCATCTCCGACCACTACCAGACTATCGAGGTCTATGCTTCTCAGCCTGGCTGCAACTATGTCATGGCCTATCTGGACCTCAGACATTGCCACGGCCTTTCTTCAGGGCAAGCCACAGACCCGGAAGCTGTGGGTACAACTTCCCAACGAATGCCTGGAGCTTTTGGGAGCCTCGCCTGAGACGAGAATGCTCTTGTTGAAGCCGTGCTACGGCCAGATTGACGCACCTCGAGCCTGGTACATGGCTGCAGTCGACAAGTTGAAGGGCATGGGATTGAAACAACGCCCCTTGGACCCTTGCTGCTTTTTGATGTACGAGGGCGACCTCAACCCTGAGTATGATGCCACTGCCACCAATGAGAACCTGCTTGGAGCCCACGGCCTGTGCGGCCTTGTGATCATGCATGTTGATGACATGTTGGGCTGCGGTTCACCTACGTCCACTTGCTACGCGGAAACCATCGCAAAGCTCAAGAACTCGTTTTCCTTCCGGGAGTGGAAGACTGGTGATGATGGAAAGCCCCTCACGTACTGTGGCTGCGACATCCACATCGACTCCAGCGGCAGCTACAAGCTCAGCCAAACTAACTATATGAGCAAGGTCAAGCCCATCACCTTTGACCGAAAACGAGATCTCACGGATGCATTGAACCAGCGTGAACTCACGCAACTGCGTGGTTTGCTGGGATCCTTGCAGTGGCCAGCTGTCCAATCAAGTCCTCACCTACAGAGCAGCACCTCCCTGTTGAGCGGACATGTCACAAAAGCTTGCTTGCAAACAGTGTCCGACACCAACCGCTTGCTGCGCTTTGCCAAGGAGCATGCCGATGTTGGCCTCCACTACGAGCACCTTGGAACAGTTGATGAGTTGAGCATGGTATGTTTCTTTGATGCTGCATTCGCTGCTCGAAGCGATGGAGCGTCTCAAGCTGGCTACATCATCCTGCTCCTCAACAAGAAACTGTTGGCTACAGATGGTCCTGAGGGGGCCTACCACGTGTTGGACTGGCGTTCGATGAAGACGCCACGGGTCGCAAGATCCTCCCTGGCTGCCGAAGCTCAGAGTGGTGGGCAAGCATGTGATGCTTTGGAGCATGCTAGCATCTACTGGAGCCTACTTGTAGATCCACAACAAGGTCTGAAGCGGACCCTCGATGCTCCTTCGATGCTGTCCCCGGTGATGATCACCGATGCAAAAGCATTGTTCGACTCCTACCACAGAGAGGGAGTTTCCAGCTCGGTAGTCGACAAGAGAGTCTCCCTGGAGATCAAGGTCATGAAGGACAGGCTGACATCCTTGGGTGGCACCTTGAGGTGGATGTCATCGGAGAGGCAGTTTGCAGATGGCCTCACCAAAGAGTCAGCTCGCCTGTTGTTAGCTCAACGTCTTCGGCATGGTCGCTTGAAGTTGGTGTGGGACCCAACCTACAAGGCCGCCAAGAAAAAGACGAAAGATGAGCTGCTTCAGAGTCGCATGGAAAGTGTTCATGAACATGTTCAACCACCTGTCGCCCCAACAGCAGAGAACGAAGATTCAGAGCACACTCCAGCTGGCAACAAGCACGCCATCGAGGAGATTGAAATGGATGAGCCCGTGTCCTGGTATGAGCAGGCCACTCCGAATGTCCTCATGGCAAAGACCGACGACCAGCTGACCTATGTGTACCGTAGGTCCTGCCATGTCGCCTGCCGCCGCATGGACAAGGCCTACACCTGCCGCTCGAAGAACTTCATTTGTTGGTTGTGGTTGATTTTCTTGATGCCCCTCCTGGCCTCCGGACATGAAGTTGAAATGGAAAAGAAGGGAGAAACTGATGTTTTTGGCATTGCACTTTGCACCTTTTTCTGCATGGTCTTGAGCTTTGTTTACTTCATGGGACGATGGTCCAAAGAAGTGCGCTCACCTCCACACCTTACAACAGCCGATGCAGAAGTCCAGAAAGACGAGCCCGTGGTGCACAGTCGACTACGGGAAGAGCTTGCAAAAGCCAAGGAAGAAGCTGCACTTTGGCGCGAGCGCGCTGTTGAATATCGTAGCTCTGCCTTCGAGAGTCGAGCATCCATCGACCTGATCATGGCCGAACAACATGGCACCGAAAGCCTGCTGAGTGAAGCCTCCAACCTCCTGAGACAAGCACTTCGGCAGATGGATGAGCATTCGAACGAATGCCCCTTTTACCAGCAGATCTGGGTCACAAGACATGGCTACCGCTGGCACAAGACCCGACACTGCGCAACCCTCGAAGGAAGAAGCACCCAGAACCAGCAGCTAATTCCTGCCTGCAACTTGTGTAGCTTGCGCATCCTTCCGCCTGATTTGGTGGAACAGAACCTTGGTGCATCGTTACGAACCTTGGTTCTGGCTTGGCTCGACCGGCTCGAAAGTCGATAACGCTCCTCCTGTGTAAAGTGCACGCTGAGCACTTGAGTTGAGCATGGTCGGTCGAGCTGTTTTCCTTTGCACCGCAACTCGATCCACTCAAGATGGGTGGGCATTGCCTGCGAAAAAGGCACGGCCGTGGGACGCGTTGCGTTCCGTCTTGTTTCGCCTGTCCCGGACTTCGTGCGCCGGGCCCGCTACTTTCACAAGGCCAAAAATGTACATACAGTACATTCTCTTGCTTTCCCTCTTCCGGGTTTGTGGCTCTCTGTCAATTTGCATGCGACAACAAGTTCATGCACCACAGCACCAGCGCACTTAGCACTGGAGTCCTTCAGCTCATCCAGCCAGGTATCAATCCACTGAAAGGCTTCAGAGAATAGCCGGCCTCGGCACATAAACAAAAAAGCTTTTGAACTGCTGTTGGTTGATTTCTCACAGAACTGCAACTGACAAAACAAGCAAACCAGGCAGCTGCGGCAAGACTTTTTGAAGCTATGAAATGTCTCGCACAGCCCAAATCCTCTGCTTCACTAGGCCAACTAACCATGAAGGACTCTCAACCATGGCAGGGGGCATGTTCTCGTTCAGTCTTCATCACTCCAGTCATCGAACGGCGCATATATAGCCGGCCGGCGGCGATTTTCAAGTAGCCTGGTCCTCCAGGTGTTCGCCATTTCGTCAAATCCCTTGAAAGCAGCCATAGCAGCCATGCAGTGCCATACACCCAGCGCCAATCACAAGTAGGCCTCTTCATTTCCCGTGCCTCAGAGGTAGCCGCCTCCACCAAGCGTTGACCTATTGAACTCTATGCAGTTGTCAGTGTCCACATGATCTTGCCGAGAGCTCTCAACGATATGGGCTCCTCATCCTTGGCAGACAGTGGGGACTTGACAACAACTCTCATGAATCAAGAATGGTAGTGTTTAGCACTATCACATTGTCATTTACCCAAGCTGTCTGCTCAATGCTCTCTGCTCAGGTCCACGAGCATTTCCTGTTTGCACTCACAAAGATTGAATGAGCTGAACATTTGGATAGCTGATACCAGCACACAGCAGCACACAGCAACACTGGTAGACAGCCTGCTCTTGGATCTATGCTCAGTGAAGCAAATTCTGTGCTATGTGCTTTCAGCAGCAGCTCCATCAGGTATGCCTCTTTCTGAGCAAGTCCTGGAGACAAGAAGCTTCAACCAAAGAGTCTTTGGTTGAAAGCAGCATTAAACTGGTCAAGCTCCCCCACAACTTGCCCGGTTTTGAGGGTTCCTTCAAGCTGTAACCAGTCGTAGAAGGGCACATGCGCCACGCGGATTCCTCTGATGCTTCTTGTTACTACTAGTAAGGCACTTGTTACTAGAAGCGATGCACTTGTTACTAGTAGCTTCTTGTTACTACTAGTAAGGCACCTGTTACTACTAGTAAGGCACTTGTTTCTACTAGCTTCTTGTTACTACTAGTAAGGCACTTGTTACTACTAGTAAGGCACCTGTTACTACTAGCGTAGCAAGGCAAGTTTTGAAATTCCGTCTCCCACTGGAAGTGATTCGCTTTGCGCTTCTCTGACTGCTTCTCTTTTCAGAAGCGTAGATGTCAAACTTACCGTACACTTGCAAACCTCATGTTGTATGGTCTGGATGCATTGGATGCATTGGGCAGATAGGTTTGCACACTCACTCTTGCTGAATGCGAGTAGTCAAAACGTCCATATGTCCTTTGAACAATGATCTGAACTTCAAGGCTCTGCATAAGAACAGGTGAGCCCTTGTTGCGTGCACGTGAAAACAACGCCAGGACTCGCATAGCAGACAGCAAGCGGTGCCGCAACTTGGATGTAGACGTCCAGTGCCAAGGGCGTCCATGAGGCCTCAGAGTCCGCACTGTAAGGCCAACAACCGACCAAATACCAACAACTACTGTAGGGGCTTGGTTTGAGGTGTGAGTCAATCTGAGGTGTCAAATGTCAAAGCCGCCTGTAGAAATGACTCGGCCCATCGGCCTTCCAGGCAAGGATGGCGCAGTACATGCAACACAGGCAGCGCCTTCTTGCACTCATGCCGAATTGTGAACTTTGTGCCTCAACTGCCACACAAAATCTTGCCAGCGAACGGCCAGGCTTGGATTCATCCCATCCATCTGGTTCCTCCATGCTTTTTTGCACAGCCGCATGTTCTTTCTAAGTTGACATTTAAACTCCGTCCTCATATCCATCTCTGCTCACAGCAGCAAAATCCAATAAATACCTGAGAGAAATAAAGAACGGTGTGCAAGAGTCAACAGTTCGGGTCGCTTCGCAGTTTCCCATAGTAGCTTTGGTGTTTTTGTTTTGCCCCTGTCAAGCCGCGGTCCCACTTCGACTTCAGCTTGATGATGCCATGAGATGTTCTTCGCCACGTTGGAGACCTCCTCTGCAAATGCAGACTCGCCCCGTGGTTCTGGGATGCCAGAAGCTCCCCGCACACTGAAGAGCCATCGAGCAGCAAGGCCACCAAGATCTTTCAATGTCACAGAGGTGTGCCCCAAACCTCAATGACACAGTTGCTTTGTCAGTGTTGAAGCTTTGAGCAGCTTTCTTGCTTGCTGCCATGTGTTCAAAATATGTCCACCTCTTCTGCGCTCTTGAGCAAGTGACGCACTGCCATTTCGAAGGTCTTGAGTTGATAAAGCGCCTCTTGAGGAACTTTATTGGATCGCAGGAGCTCCTCGACAAAAATGTGAAGGTTCGATCGTGCTGGCCAAGGCTGGTGGTCAAAACAAATGTCTCCTGAACAAGCCTTCGTTGAAGCTCTTTCTCCGACACGGCAAAGTAGCCTTTGGAAAGAACTTCACTGGCGGGGAAATAAATGCAAAGTAGTCTCTTCAGTTTGAGGACTCTTGCAGGTTGGCCATCCTGAGCTTCCATCAAGTCACTCAGAGCGAGCAACAAGTTGGCTGCAGTCTTGCCAGACAAAATATCCACCTGAGCTCAACGTGTATGCCTCCGGAATACGCTGAAGTACAGTAATTAGGAGCCGGGAATAGCAGCACAAATGCAAAAAAGACACGTGAGAATGTCCAACTCCATTTTGCACCAAAATCTTGTGCAACCTGGCTCCACATCTTTATGCTGCGATGCGTGCACCTGCTCACTGCACTGTTGTTCAATAACGTCTATTTGGCCGCAACAAGCCCCAATGGTCTTGGTTGCCTTCTAATTAGTCACAGAAACATCTGCCACAATCCACATAGTTATACTTTACGTAATGGTACTCCTGAACATCACTGTACAAAACCCCAATTGGCAAGCTGAGCCGAGGAAAGAAGCAACCAGAAACAATCACAGAAAACAAGAGGATCTATTCATAATGGAGTGACACCCACTCAGACTCTCAGACATGAGACGCCCAACGTGTTATGCTGTTTCGTTGTCAAAGAGTACCGTGCACACCCTTCACATATAGCACATGCACGTAGCACCCGTGATCGTGCCTGGAGCACACTGCATTGGCAAGATTTTCATCCCATATGTCGAGTCTGTAGAGCCTATAGTTGCTTGGTGACAAAACCTCATCTCCACAAGTGAAGACTAAAACCATGTCGCCAAGAGGCTCGTAGATAATCCCCCCCCAGTGATTCCACTCCCAGGCCGTCTAACACGGAAGCTGAGAAGCTCCTCATTGCACAGCCCTTTCCTCTGAGAAGCTTCTTTACATGAAAGTACGGCCATGGCGGCCGTGATCGGTCTATGCTCATGGCATGTGCTAGCATCAGGCAGGGTACTCCAGCAAGGGTGACAGAACAGCTGGCGAACGCCACCGCAGACGCCCGAATGCTTGCAGTAGCCTGAGACGATCCTCTACAGGGAACCTCAGGGAAGCCAAGTGCATCATGAGATCGAACTGATTCAAGCCTCTTTGCCAGCAATCTTCCTTTGTTGTGCTGATGAAACACCATAGACTTGCGCTAAGTGTAGTGCTGACCGCAGTCACGTTGAGACAGCACTGTGTCCAGTGCTGCGGCAAGGCGATGCGGAAACATGTTCAGAGCACCAAAATGACTGCAAAGCTGAACCAACGACTTGTTTGGCAGCATCGCTGTCCCTGATCGGATGGACATTTCACGAAAGTCCACAGGTGTGAGGTCTGATATGAAAGGATCAGCACTGCTCATATCGACCCCTGGCCCTAGGGCCTAGCCAAGTTCAAGAGCCAAGGGTCTTGGCTCCAATCGGTCTGCCAGAGCTCGAGTCATCATGTGCAATTTTCCACCCAACTGGCCAGAAGCGCCAATTAGATCAATCATGTCTTGAGAGCTCAAGGCAATCTCCTCACAAAAGAGCCATCAGTCCAATCAAGGTGTGCGACAGTTTTGCATCTCGTGTCAGCTTCAGATGTCTGGTTCGAAAAAATATTGTCATGTGTACAAAAGCATTGTCATCAGGTGTCAAGGCCCGGCTCCTCCTCTGTAACGCCAACCCGATGGCCTATTGCAGATGCGAGCCTGGATACAAAACCACTACCAGTGTCGTCCATGGTCACCAGTCAAACAACGTGCCTCACTTGTGGTTCCCCAAGTTGTGCAGCATCCTTTGCTAATGCAACAACCTGACATAGAATCAGGGCGAGGGTTTGTCCTGTATCGTTTAAGTGTTGTTACAGTGCGTGTCGTCGAACAAAGCTTGGAACCAAAGCAGACCGAGCAGACCTGCACATCTCGCAGCAGCACCCTCAAGCGGCACCCAGCCCCCAGTTCTCAGGTTCCAAAGTACGCACGCACAAGCACCTCTTCCTATACCGGAAGAAAGAACGCCAATAACGCTAGCTATTTGATGAAAAACAAGAGGAGGGCACAGCTGCAATGCTGGAGGACACAAGGAGCACGATCAAGGTCCTTCCTGCACGCTTCAGGTTCACTGCAGGATTGCACCCCCATTGTATCCATTTCGCAGAGCCTGCGTTCAAACTCCTAGATGATATCCGGCGGCGCGACTGTTGCAACCGCCCATCACTGACAGTGAACAATTTGAGAACTGCATGAGCGGCTTGAGCGTGCTCAAATCAAAAAAGATCTAGAAACCAAAAAGGTTTCTTCAAGCCCTCAGGCTAGTAAGGACAAAGTCCAAAAGATTTGCCACGTTGACAAAAGCTAGAGTCTTACGTGCTGTCCTTTGGCTTATTTACAGAGGTGGCATACTTAAGGCTCAAGACACATCCGACCAAGCGTGCACCAAGCCTCTGGCAATCCAAGCAGATCAAGCTCCTCTGCCAATTTCCCTCCCACTTCTCCTCAGGTGAACGCCATGGCAAAGTCAAATTTGCCAAGAAACATCAGAACCTCTAAAGACTTCCCAATCAATTAGCCGAGTCAACTCTCCAAATCTAGGGGTCAAGGCCTGACCCATATCCACCTG